ATTATTATTATCTGTAAGCAAGATTCCTAACAAATCAGAATTAGACCGGTCCTCTCTCAAGAGCCATTTCTAGATCTAACATTACAAGGGTGCATGATGATGGCTTCTCCTTCCCTCTCAGGACCACCTTTTACCCTCTATGTAAACCTCTGTACCAACGGGAAAACGGTGCTTCTCCAAGGAGCTTTATGAACACTTGCTGGGAAATTGTCACAAAATACTGGTGTTTTGAAAACAAGAGATATACCACAAGAGAGTGAGATCCACCATGTCTAGGATGTAAATCGTGCCCCCTTGGAGCATGCATCGTGCGACCTGCCTCACCGGGACAGAGCAGTCCTGTCAAATGTCCTCCGCTGCACCCTTGAATGTGCAGACTGCATGTCTCACTTAAGGATTCAGAAAATGCAACATCACGCCAGGTCCAGGATGTCTAAAACCAGATCGAGTAGCCATGAACACAAGAGGCTGTCCTCCTTTTCAGCGAGAGGATAAATTTCTCTTACTGTTAGTCCCACAGTTTGTTATTTCGTTACAGCAGCCCTAGGAAATGAATACACTCCTTTTTAACATAGGATTTCCAAATGAATTTGACCCTGGAAATCTTTCTTCTTATAATGTCTACTGATATTTAGGAAACATAGGGAAATTCTGGCCCAGGAAAAAGAAGCTGGAGGTCCATCCAGCTTACAGAGGAGTGACAAGAAATGTTAGCAAGAGGGTTTGTAAGTTGCATGTTTCTCTACCTTTCACTTCTTCCTGAGGCGCCAGCTTTGACTGGGCCGACTTTGCTTAGCCAAGAAAACAATCAAAATTCTAGTTCCCTTCTTGTTTTTACCATCAAAGTGTGCAGGGAAGGGATAAATTAGGGTCAGAAGCCTGTGACAGGACCGGCCGGTGAAGCCCGCAGGATGAATGTAGGGGTGGCACACAGTGAAGTAAACCCCAACACTCAAGTGATGAATAGCCAGGGCATCTGGCTGGCCTACATCATCTTGGTGGGACTGCTGCATGTGGTTCTACTCAGCATCCCCTTCTTCAGCATGCCTGTTGTCTGGACCCTGACCAACGTCATCCATAACTTGGCTATGTATGTCTTCTTACATACGGTGAAAGGGACACCCTCTGAGACCCCTGGCCAAGGAAAGTCTCGGCTACTGACACACTGGGAACAGATGGACTACGGGCTCCAATTTACCTCTTCCCGCAAATTCCTCAGCATCTCTCCTATTGTACTTTTTACCTCCTGGCCAGCTTCTACACCAAGTATGATGCTGCTCACTTCCTCAACAGAGCCTCATTGCTTAGTGTACTGCTGCCTAAGTTACCCCAATTCCACGGGGTTCATCTCTTTGGCATCAACAAATACTGAGGAATAGGGCTGGGTATAACACTGGACCAAAGGGCTAGAACATCCTTTCCTTCTCTGTATTGTCTTCTGTATCTTGAAAGCCTGAGAACTATATAACCTTTCCCAAACTCCAGAAAGAAACAGATTGGAAAATGGGGCTCCTGGGGCCCAGCCCTAAGAGCAGATTTTTTTTGAATCATGAAAGGTAGGAAAGATAAGGGCTAAGTCACTCTCCCTCACAGCAGGAAGCCATGTTTAAATAGCTTGTTTGGTAACTGAGCAGCTTGTTTTGTGATTTTTTCTAGGTCTTCTACCCACACCACTTTCCAGCTCTGTTTTGCTATGTATTTTCCTTATAATATACTTTTTTTTCCAAAAGGAAGAAGGAGGAGGAGGAGGTGGAGGAACCTGTGACACCGCTAAGGCATTAGGGGCTGGGGATAGCCACTCTCCTAATCTTCATCATCTCCCCAAATAAACAGATACAATTTCAGTAGAAACACTGCTATTTTGCAAATATATAATTTCAAGACAAAACCTCTAGCCCTGCCCTGTTTACCAGATTGCTACCCCTAAGCCTCTCCCTTCCATTTAGAAATCCTCAGGTAATGTAGGAAGAAGCTAATGTCTGAGTAGAAATGGAATTGCACACACCCTAAACACTAGCAATTCATACCATAATGCTAAATTGGCTTGGGTTTCACCTACTGATACTTTGTGATGGATCCAGTTGTAGTTTGTAATTTTTTTCCCACAGGTGTCCATATTCACTATTTCTAGGGAGTCCTCTGTGTCCTGAGGTAGCAAATTGTTCCCGAAGAGATTTTGTTTTCTCTCAGGCCACAGAGGTTCATCTTTTTTAGCTTATTTCTTGGTTTGGAATCAATATTCTGATCAGGTCATTTATAGCTAGGCCCTGCATCCACATGGCACAGACTAGGGATTTATTTCTCACAAGACACTTTTCTACGTTCATGTACCACACCCCTGACCCATATACCCAACTACATCCCAAAGAGTTCCGCTTGTGTCACAGCTTCCTCAAATTCAATTTCCCAAAATTAAGCTCCTCCATAAAGCCTATACTTCTCCAGCATTCCTTATTTCAGTCAACAGTGCCAGGCTGTCATAGATAATGGTATAAGTAGTTCACTGCCCAAGGGACAAAAGAGAGCTGAAATCTAGCTTGCACGCTGCTTACCAGGCACTGCATCTGCACACTGTGTCCACCATGAGGGCATCTTTCTCTAAGTGTCTAAAGAGATCACATGTTGCCCTGGGAAAAGCACCACCATCCACCTTGCGGCCACTTGTCCTTTTCCCATAGCATCTCCCACCCATATCCAAGTCATTTCAGAGCCCTGCACTTCTACCTCCTAGTTAGACCTCAAAACCATCTCCTCTGTGCCACTTCTGTAAGTTGCCAGATTTTGCAAATAAAAATGCAAACTCCCAGCTAAATTTGAGTTTCAAACAAAAAAAAACACAGTTTTTTGACTCGTGTGTCCATTCTGTCCCTTTTCTAAAAGGACCCCAATTTTTACTCCAGCCCACACTGCACCCAAAAAAAAGAACACATTTCTAACCAGATGATATGAGCCACGTGCAAACCATCACCACTGAAAGCTGCCCCAGTAGAGTTCCCATATTTGGTGGAGACAAACACATTTCCTTAGAAATCAAGTCATTGGCATATTCGGCTTCTCACACACTAGGAGGCTGGGTCCTTCCATGCACATTAAGAAATGTTTACTTTTTACATACGTATTTCTTACAAAGTCCAGGTTGGGGAGGCTCAGTGTTTACTCTTCAAGTCAGCAGGGGCCCCCCACCCCCCAGGGTAACCCTTCCTAGAGTTCCCCAGCATTGAAAGGACACCACATAGGTTCCCACATCCTTTCCGAGAGCCCACTGGGAGGCTGGCCAGTAGACCATCCTACATCAAGCCCATTGCTCAGTTTCAGGCCAAGGCATCACTCTGTCCTGATTTTCAGCCTCTCAGTCACTGGCATAATCTGGAGGAGCTCTGGCTCTAACATACTTCAGCAAGTCAAATCCTATAAACAAGGTTTTTTTATCTGCTCAGCTTCTGAGGGCCAAATGCCTCAGAGCAAAAGGAAACAGTCTAATCAAACTGGACACCTCATATTGGAAATGTAGACAATGGAATGATACAGACTATTCGTAAATCGTGCATGGAATGTAAATTATTAGCATCCTAATATCTTAATATTTGATAACTGAGAGTGTGGAGACCATACTAACAGTATTGGAATTGTCTTCATTTAGTTTATTTGGACTTCAGAGTCCCTAGCACTAAACAGAATATTCCCTCCACCATAGGAGCCCATTGTCATTTTTCTCAGGATCTGAAATTAGAATACCTTGCGTACAATGCCAAGTTGTTACCCTAATTTTTTTTAAGATTTTATTTATTTGAAAGAGAGAGAAATAGCATCAGAGCATGAGCGGGGGGAGGGGCAGAGGGAAATGCAGACTCCCCACTGAGCAGAGAGCCCGACATGGGGCTCCATCACAGGACCTGAGCCAAAGGCAGACACTTAACTGACTGAGCCACCCAGGCATCCCAAGTTGTGACTCTAATGAATTTATTTGGAAATGTCATGTACAATCTGTTTCTATTAAGCCTGTGAGCTGCAGTTATTTAAAGAAATGAACATATGCACACACCCACATGCACACCTGCACACCCATGCTATTTACCATGGAACCTAAAGTGAGGTGAAGGGAATTTTCACATCTTAAAAGAACCAATATTTTTGTGCCTAGAAAGAAGGACTGGAATGACAGTCCTTCTATGTCATCCACATATTTTTCCCATTTGGCCATTTGGTCTATGCATTACTCTCCCCAAGAGATGCATGCACATGCCTTTATGTCCTGCCCAAAGTTAGCAGTGGAACTCCTCACCTGCCAGCTTTTGTCAATGCCATGGAGTAAGTCCTGGCCACTGAGATGTGCCCACAGAGAACCCCAAATCCAATAAAAAAATTACCCTGACTTCCAGGAGACGGAATGTGGCCCTGTAACTCCAGGAGGTCAATTATTCAATAGCTTTCTTTTTTAATCATACCTACTTCAGTTTAGAGCAGCATGTAGGAATTATATAGACCTCCTTGAAATTTTGAGGCTGCTATGCATCTTCTAAAACTGTACTTCAGTTGCTTAATACATTTACTGGGACTTTGGAGAGACTTCTTCCCTCCAACACACCAGAATCCCCTCTGAGAGCAGTTTCCTGTTCCACCTAGATAATCCCATCTGGAAATTCCTGCAGAACCATTTTTTGCATATACACTGTGTTCTCCATTACCCATCCACACGGGTGGTTGCAATTGACCTTTTCATATATTTTAAGTAATAGAAGCACAAAAACTTTTTTCAGGAGTGAATGTATCTGAGAACATCTGTTGACGCCTTCTTTTTTCTTTCCCTTTCTTAATTACTTGGTCTTATTTTCTTTTCTGGATTTTGCTGGGGATGAGCTTTGTGTCCCAGGGGCAAGAGAATCAGCACAGAGGCATGCTGATGCTAACCCAAGGAGTGGTCAGACACAGTTGTTGGCAATATAACCACCATGTTTTCTGCTAGTTGGTCCAATGATGTGTATGAAGAAAGCACAAATGTACTGTGTTCTAAACCTGCTTTATTTACTCTGGCTATGTCTAGAGATATTGTTTTGACAGGGAAAGAAATCATATCTCGTGTCTTGGGCATTTTGAGTGTCAGTCTGGGCCCCAATTCTCTTTCCACTTTAAGGTTTTAGGAGACCAGACCTGCACCCCCCATTAGCCAACCAGAGGGTCTCCTTGGCAGAGCAGACTGGCTATGAAAATGCCGAGTCACTGGCTTGACTACAGAGGGTCACAGCCCACCTATATACAGTTGACTTCTGTTCCCATCTTTTTCTCCAAGTATTTGCATCTTGTCTGATTGATGAAAGGCCCTAAGATTTAGGACTGGTACTCACTGAGCTCTCGTTCTGCATGGCTGTGTGAACAAACCATCAGAAATAGGGAATGGAGTAGCAGGACAATGTACGAATTACCACTGGCGATCCAGCCTTCACATCTTTCTGACATGTACCAAATGAATAGGAGAGAAAAATCTCAAATAGTATTAATAAAATGAGAACAACTTTACCAAATTAATGAAAGTTTCATACCTGCATTCTACCATTGATTTGAGAGCATCCTTCAAAAACTAAATTTAATTGAATAAAACTGAAGGCAGGCTGTCTACCAGTAGAACAGTGCATCAGTGTTAAGTTCCCTGAATTTGGCATTTGTATTGCAACTGTTGGGAGATCTCCTTGACCTTCAGAGATACATATTAAAGTATATAGTCTATAGGAGTAAAAGGTTATGACATCTGCCACTCATTCTCAAATAATTCCACAAAATAATAATAGCAATGAGAGAGAGGGAGAGAGAATGCACAAATTTTGACAAATGTTAACAATTGTAGATTCTGGGGGAAGGATATGTAGGTAGTTGCTCATTGTATGATTCTCACAACTTTAAGTTTGAAAATTTTCAAAATACAAAGTTAAGAAAAGAAAAGCACAATGATTACTCATCAAAGTCAAACATTTGATTTAGAACAGTCACACTGACAGAAGTGGTCAATTGGAAGAGGCTCTCCAGACTACAGTCAGTGCATGCTCTGTGGGCCTCTTTCTGTTCAGGATTGTCTTGGGGAATCCAAAGAACCTGTGGATAGAGGCATGGAGTTAAAGGTTGTGCTCCATTACAAGACTAACCATGCTCAACCAACACACTCAACTAGCAATGCCTGGCCATGATTTCGGCCCAAGGGACCACGTTGGGGTAAAGGACACCATCCACTGGGCTTTGCCTTCTCTCCTCTCTACTGCAAAGCCTCTCAAAAGCCTCTTCTGGGCTTGCCTTCAGTTTTTATACTATTCTATGAAGGTTCTTTAACCCACCAGCAGGGAGCAAATTGTGTATCAAGGGGGATGCTGGTTGCCAATTGTCGAGCTCCTCAACCTCTCTTATCTCATTCTTCAGCCTGTTGGCCTTCTCCTTCACCCAGAAAGGCAAGCTGTAGGAAGAAAACAACACCTGAGTTTGAGTTTGTCTGATGCAAAATGTACAAACACTTTCAGCACATAAGGAATTACATCCTCCAAAGTAAGAAGTCCTCCAATTTAGGACTGATGACAAAATAAAACACCGTGTTAGTTTTCAGCATTTGTCTCTCTCCCAAAGTCAGATCTCTTTTCTGCCCTTCTCTGCCCAGAGATCTGACCCCTGCAACTTGCATCACCTTGAACCCATCATATGCCCCTGCCTTTGATCTGGGCTTGGCTAATCCACTGGAGGCACCAGCAGGAGACCAGAAAGCAAGGAGAAGTTGGGTGAATTTCTCACCTAGCTCCTCTACTCCCATTCATATCCTGAGGTACCCCAGTTTTGGCAGTGGCTGCATTTTCCACTGCCACAACCTCTTCCAGAAAGTCTTTTTCCATCTCCTGCCACACTGAGCAACAAGATCACTCTTCTTGCTGTTCAGACCTGGGAGTGGTAACAGCTTCCCACTGGAGAGAGCCTCTGACTGTTTCACCCTTTCATGTAAGTTCCCTCAACCTGTTTATACATCTGTAAACAGCCCTTTCATTACGTTCTCTTCAGAATCCTACCTGAGTGTGCTTTGTTTTTTTTTTGTTACGGCCTCAGCTAATGCAGACGCTTAGCCTCCTCCCAAGTCTGTAGAGATTTGAAAGGACATATGCTGGGCTACACTGCGTATGTTCCAAGAGTTACCAGGAATTGTGACTCCTGATGAGTCAGAGAAAAGAGATGAAGAATCATTTCATCTTTTGGCAGCTATAATTTTCATACATCTAGGGAGAAATGCACCATGATTGGAAAAATGCCCAAATAAATCTGCTAGTGATGAGGAAGTCCCTGCAAGCAGGAAACAGGGGATGACCACATGGGTAATAGGTGGGAGTAAGGGTCTCATGTAAAACTGACAGAACAATAGTAGAAGCCCAAGTAAGACCAGTAGGATCTTACTTGGGCAATATAGAAAGATTCTAGCATAAAGAATCACTGGAACAAAACCACAAGCTTTCCTAAACATCAAAACAAATAATTTCTTTAACTTTTGTTGAAGCAATCAAAACAGTAAGACTCATGGTAAAAATAATATAATACGCATAATAATTGTAACAAAATATGATAGAATTGAAATCAAATATGTCAAATCATTAATTCAAATTATCTTAATTCGCCTATTTTTTTTAATTTTTTTGAGAGAAAAAAACACAAATGAGTGGGGGGAGGGGCAGAGGGAGAGAAAATCTCAAGGAGACTCCCCATTGAGTATGGAGCTTAATGTAGGGCTCCATCTCACAACCCCGAGATCATGACCTGAGCTGAAATCAAGAGTCTCAGACACTTAACCAACTGAGCCACCCAGGTGCCCCTCCATTCACCTATTAAAGAAAAAAAAAATTTAGGGTGGCTCATAAAATCAAAGTGCAATTCTGTGTCTAAAAGACAGACCTAGGGGCACCTGGGTGGCTAGTTGGTTGAGTGTCTGCCTTCAGCTCAGGTCATGATCCTAGGGTCCTGGGATCAAGCCCTGTATTGATGAGCAGGGAGCCACCTTCTCCCTCTGCTGCTCCCCCTTGCTTCTGCTCCCTCTCTCTGTCTCTCTCTCTCTCTCTCTCACTCAAATAAATAAATAAATAAATAAATAAATAAATAAATAAATCTTTTTTAAAAATAAAAAATAAAACACAGACCTAAAACAAAGTGATTTGAAAATCTAAAAACAAAAGAATGGGTAAAAGTATATTAGTCATATACAAACAAAACAAAGTAAGAGATGTAATCTTTATATCCAGCAATGTATAATATAGGACAAAAAGCATTAAATGAGAAAAAGAAGATTTAAAAAAATTTAATTACAGTCAGTTAACTTACAGGGTTATATTCATTTCAGGTGTATAATTTAGGGATTCAACAATTCTATACATTAGTCAGTGCTCATCATGACAGGTGCCTTCTTCAATCCCCAGGATTTGCTTCACCCATCACCCCACCCACCTCCCCTCTGGTAACCACCAGTTTCTTCTCTACAGTGAAGAGTCTGTTTTGAGTTTATCTAAAAAGAAGATATTTTTATAATGTTAATGGCTACAGTTAACAATAGAGACAGAAATATAATAATATTTGCACAACCATTTTCAGTCCAAGCTAGGTCAAATGAACAATTTTAATCAAAAAGATAAATCTGGGGCACCTGGGTGACTCAGTCAGTTAAGCATCCAACTCTTGGTTCAGCTCAGGTCATGATCTCCTGGTTGTGAGATCAAGACCCACGTTGGGCTCTGCTCTCAGTGCAGTCTGCTTCAGGTTCTCTCTTCTTCCCATTCACATACTCACTCTCTCTCACTCTCTTGCACATGATAAATAAATAAATAAAATATTTTTTAAGTAAATCTTCTGGGTATGTATCTAACTTTGCATCTTGATGAAATAGACCACCTTCAAATATATATAGAGACAACCCCCAAATTAAACATGTATTAGGTCACAATGAAGAGTTGTTAAGTTTCATAAAATAAAAGTAATAAAAACAACATTTTCTGGTCATTAGATGATAAAAGTAAAAATGAATTACAAAATAAAAATCAAAAACCTCTTTCACTTGGAAATTTTAAATCAAGTAATGTTTTAACCAAAAGAAAGAGACCAACACAAACTGCAGAATTCTTCAAAAAAATAAGGATAATCTAGGGTGCCTGAGTGGCTCAGCCAGTTGAGTCTCCAACTCTTGATTTTGGCACAGGTCGTAATCTCAGGGTCGTGGGATTGAACCCTATGTTGGGCTCTGCACTGGGCATGGAGCCTGCTTGGGATTCTCTCTCTCCCTCTCCCTCTCCCCCTGCCCCTTCCCCCTACTGTCTCTCAAAAACAATTTAGATAGATAGATAGATATAATATATATATGGATAATCTTTCACATCAAAATGTATAACATATAAGCAAAGCAGTGGTTGAGGCACTTTCATAACCCTTAGTATAGATATTAAGAAAAATTTAAAAATTTAAAAATTAATTAAATATCCCATTCAAAAAATAGAAAAAGAAGGGCATCTTGCTGACTCAGTTGGTAGAGCATGCAACTCTTGATCTCAGGGGCATGACTTCAAGCCCCACACTGGGTGTAGAGATTACTCAAAAAAAAAAAAAAAAAGAGGAGTGCCTCGGTGGTTCAACTGACTAAGTGTCCAACTCTTGATCTCAGCTCAGGTCTTGGTCTCAGGTCATGGGTTCGCACCTCACATTGGGCTCCAGGCTGGGTGTGGAGTCTACTTTTAAAAAGGAAGAAGAAGGGATCCCTGGGTGGCGCAGCGGTTTGGCGCCTGCCTTTGGCCCAGGGCGCGATCCTGGAGACCCGGGATCGAATCCCACGTCGGGCTCCTGGTGCATGGAGCCTGCTTCTCCCTCTGCCTATGTCTCTGCTTCTCTCTCTGTGTGTGACTATCATAAATAAATTAAAAAAAATTAAAAAAATAAAAAATAAAAAAAAATAAAAAGGAAGAAGAAGGCAGAGAAAAATAAACCAAAATAAGCAGAAAGGAGGAAATCATTACAATAGAAGCAAAGATTAATGTTTTAAAAACAAAGAAAGAGACAATATGTAAAAAGAATACTAAAATTTTTAAAGCTGCTTTTAAAAGAACATATACACAAACAAACCACTATCTAACCTAATGAGGAAAAAGGGGGATAAAGCACAAACATACAAAATAAATGAAAAGGGGAAAACAATAAGTGAAAGAAGAGAGGTAAAAATTTTTTAAAGATTTTATTTATTCATGAAAGGCACACAGAAAGGCAGAAACAAGCAGAGGGAGAAGCAGGCCCCCTGCAGAAAGCCTGATATGGGACTTGATCTCAGGACCCCAGGATCATGCCCTGAGCCAAAGGCAGATGCTCAATTACTGAGCCACCCAAGTGCCCTGAAACTTTTTAAATAATAAGACTTTTTGGAATAAAAAATAAATTTGAAAATGTAAAAAATTGATAATATTCTAGAAAAATTAAATATATGAAGATCTTGAACAGTCCTCTACGTGTTGAGGAATAAGTATGTTCCCTCTGTACCCAGTTTGTTGAAAGTTTTTACCATGAAATTTTGGCGAGTTTTTTCAAAAGCTTTTTCTGAATCTGTTGAGATGATAATGATTTTTATCCTTCATTCTGTTAGTGTGGTAGGTCACACTCATTGACTTAGGGACATTGGACCATCTTGCATCTCTGGAATAAATTCCACTTGATTATGGTATATGATCTTTCTAATGTACTGTTGAATTTGATTTGCCAATCATTTGTAGAGGATTTTTCATCTATGCTCATCAGGGATATTGGCCTGTAATTATTGTTTCTGGTAGTGTCCTTGTCTAGTTTTGGTATTAGAATAATGCAGACCTCATCAAATGAGTTTGGAAGTGTTCTCCCTTTTCCACTTTTTTAGAAGAGCTTGAGAAAGAGTGAAATTAACTCTTCTTTAACTTTTGAGAGAATTCACCAGTGAAACCATTTGGTTCTGTGCTTTACTTCATTGGCAGGTTTCTAATACTGATTCCACCTCCTTACTAGTCATTAGCCTGGTCAGATTTATTTCCTCATAATTCAGTCTTGTTAAGTTGTATGTTTCTAGGAATTTATCCAGTTTTTTCTAGGTTGCCTAGTTGTTTAGAGTATAATCTTTTTAAAGATTTTATTTATTTATTTGAGAGAGAGCACAAACAGAGCGAGGGGAGAAGCAGACTCCCCACTGATCAGGGAGCCCAATATGGGGCTCCACCTCGGGATTCCAAGATTAGGACCTGAGCCAGAGGCAGATGCTTAACTGACTGAGCCACCCAGGCGCCCCTGGAAAGTGAAATTTTTTAGACTGATACATATCGTTTTCTAGGTCTAAACCCTACTTGGGCAAATAGCTGAGGTTCAGAATGGAGCTGAACTTAAAATATGAGATCAGAGGAATGATACTTCCCCCCCAAGCATGAGACTATTCCGATGGGTTTTTCTCTGCCTCTTCAAAGTCTACCATCCTCCCTGGCTGCATTCATTTAAGCATGGGTCTTTCTTTTCCAACAGCTCTTAGGTTTTAGAAATCAGGGACCCTGTCTTTTTTCTCCAATAAAACTCCCCATAGTGCATACCTAGCACAACACAGGGCCTCTGGCAGGCTGTCCATTGTATTAGCTGAAGACGTGGGCAACCCAGCTGCCAGACTCCATAGTACTTGCCCTCCAAGTGTCTCACCAAAAACCCTCCATACAAACTGCCCCACCCCTGCTGGTGTGTCAAAGGTCCTCTGTGTTGGGTGTCTATGAGCTCCTCAATAGGAGAAAATTATAAATAACTGATAACTTCGTAAAGATCGGTTAGTATAAAACATGGTGAGAGAACTCACGTAGGAATTTGTGGAAGAGGCTCAAGTGGAATAAATGTATCATATTTCTTTTCATAAGGCACTCTGAAAAAAAAAGTCAACCATAACATTGGTACAGCTTCTACTTCTATCATTGTATTCAATAAAATGTCATATTTTCTGGTTTTAATGGCCACCCATGGGCTTCAAAACTGTAAAGCTATAAAGGTGATAATTCCTATTTTAATTTTTACTAAACATGCTTAAGCCAAACATGATTAGTTTTTTTAAAATATTAATGTAATATGCCAACTCTTTTCTTTTAACCTAATGAACCTCCCTTTCTCCTCAGTCGGTTCAGTCTTAGTTCCAAGTGTACATCAATCCAAACAGAAGTCACTAATAAACAATCTGATTCTGTAAGAAACTGAAAAGTCTTCAGATTTGTGGTAATAACTAAAAGGGGCAAAATTAACAACCACCTTTTGGTAGTCAAGATCCTGTGTATAATTTCAATTACACATATGCATGTGTACAGACACTAAGGAATGAGAGATGAAAGTTTTTAGGAATTGTCAGCAACCATGTTTTGTTGGAATCTACTCCTTATGAAATATACCTCATATATAGTACAGAGAGATTCAATTCCTTTAAAATTAGTGAACCAATCCTGGCATTCACATACACTTACATGGAGAAATTCACTGGTGGGAGAGTTGATCCTGCTTTGTGGAAGTCTTTACTCTGTTCTGGGTACATATATGGGTTATCTCCTGGAGTTAACTTTGGTATTCCATTCCTAGGATCAATATCTGTGAAAGATATTTAAAAACAAGATCATAAAAAGGACTGAAGATATGCTCTATAGATATGACAATGGAAATAGGAAAATGTCATGTTTTATTATGAGGTACATATTATTATGCTGTTTGTGATTGTCTTGCCTTGAGAAGACGAAAAGTGTGCTTGAAAAACGCTGTGTTTGGGAGATTTTCCACAAAGTGTCATGATTACCTCACCCTGGGAAAGAAGAATAGCTTAGGTTCAGATGGGATGTTTTTTGGTTTAAAGGGAACAGTGAATCAAAGGTATCTGCAACGAATGAGAAATTGCTTGAAATCTGAGCATTGGTGCACTTTGAATCTCTGTGTCCTATAAAGCTTAAGAAGCAACCGTAATTAGACTCTGCCTCTCTGACTGGATCTCAGAAGGAAATTAGCTAACGAGGAAGAGCTATAGAAGACAAAAATTATATTTTCAGGCCAATTTCCTTACAACCCATAACCACAGACCACATTTTGTTCTTCCATCTATGACAACAAGTTAGGTCTTTAAGGAACTCCATCCACCAAAGGCCTCATCATAGCTAATGGGTTAGAGTCAACCATTTATGAAACATATTTTGATTCGTTTTTTTCTATAATAAATGTGTTGAATTTGGCTCTGATCATGATCCTGGGGTTCTGGGAATGGCCCTGAGTAGGCTCCGTGCTCAGTGGGGAGTCTGCTTCTCTCTCTGCTCCTCCCCCAGCTCGTGCTCTCTCTCTAATAAAGAAATTAAATCTTTTCTAAAAAGAGAGAGAGACTTGAGAGACATTTTAACTAATCACTAAGTGTGGATCTTATTTGGATCCTAATTCAAACTATAAATATGTTTAAATTTTGTCATTCGTGAGGCAACTGAATGTTTGAACACTGAATATTTAGTGACATTAAGGAATTATTCATTTTTTAAGATATGAAAATGGTATTGTGGTCATATTAATAAAAATAATCCTTATCTATAAGAGGTACACACTGAAAGTATATAGATGTGATTATCTGATGCCTGCAATTTGCTTTAAAATAATCCCTGGAAAAAAGAAAACCATAGCTGGGGGCATCACAATGCCAGATTTCAGGTTGTACTACAAAGCTGTGGTCATCAAGACAGTGTGGTACTGGCACAAAAACAGACACATAGACCAATGGAACAGAATAGAGAATCCAGAAATGGACCCTGAACTTTATGGTCAACTAATATTCGACAAAGGAGGAAAGACGATCCACTGGAAGAAAGACAGTCTCTTCAATAAATGGTGCTGGGAAAATTGGTCATCCACATGCAGAAGAATGAAACTAGACCACTCTCTTGCACCATACACAAAGATAAACTCAAAATGGATGAAAGATTTAAATGTGAGACAAGACTCCATCAAAATCCTAGAGGAGAACACAGGCAACACCCTTTTTGAACTTGGCCACAGTAACTTCTTGCAAGATACATCCACGAAAACAAAAGAAACAAAAGCAAAAATGAACTATTGGGACTTCATCAAGATAAGAAGCTTTTGCACAGCAAAGGATACAGTCAACAAAACTCAAAGACAACCTACAGAATGGGAGAAGATATTTGCAAATAACATATCAGATAAAGGGCTAGTTTCCAAAATCTATAAAGAACTTATTAAACTCAACACCAAAGAAACAAACAATCCAATCATGAAATGGGCAAAAGACATGAAGAGAAATCTCACAGAGGAAGACATAGACATGGCCAACATGCACATGAGAAAATGCTCTGCATCACTTGCCATCAGGGAAATACAAATCAAAACCACAATGAGATACCACCTCACACCAGTGAGAATGGGGAAAATTAACAAGGCAGGAAACAACAAATGTTGGAGAGGATGCGGAGAAAAGGGAACCCTCTTACACTGTTGGTGGGAATGTGAACTGGTGCAGCCACTCTGGAAAACTGTGTGGAGGTTCCTCAAAGAATTAAAAATAGACCTGCCCTACGACCCAGCAATTGCACTGTTAGGGATTTACCCCGAAGATTCAGATGCAATGAAACGCCGGGGCACCTGCACCCCGATGTTTCTAGCAGCCATGTCCACAATAGCCAAACTGTGGAAGGAGCCTCGGTGCCCATCGAAAGATGAATGGATAAAGAAGATGTGGTTTATGTATACAATGGAATATTACTCAGCCATTAGAAACAACAAATACCCACCATTTGCTTCAACGTGGATGGAACTGGAGGGTATTATGCTGAGTGAAGTAAGTCAATCGGAGAAGGACAAACAGTGTATGTTCTCACTTATCTGGGGAATATGAATAATAGTGAAGGGGAATATAAGGGAAGGGAGAAGAAATGTGTGGGAGATATCAGAAAGGGACACAGAACATAAAGACTTCTAACTCTGGGAAATGAACTAGGGGTGGTGGAAGGGGAGGAGGGCGGGGGGTGGGGGTGAATGGGTGACGGGCACGGAGGGGGACACTTGACGGGAGGAGCACTGGGTGTTATTCTGTATGTTGGTAAATTGAACACCAATAAAAATTAATTTATATAAAAAAAAATAAATAAATAAATAAAATAATCCCTGGAGGAGACGGATAAAAACGAAACAAGATAAGCCACATGTTGATAATTGCTGAAGCTAAGTGATCAGGTAATATTATGCTCTTCTCTCTAGTCTGACATATGTTTGAAAATGTCCCCCAAAAAAACCTTTTCTTTGTAATAAAGGTAAAATAGGGATTATCAGTGGAGTTAGGGGAGAAAATATGTCATATTCAGGAAGAAGCCTCTCAGAAACTTCAAATATAAAGACAATACTCCATTTCTTAAACGGAATAAGAAGCATGCAAGTGATTGTGATAATTTATTCTATACACTCAATATTTCACAAGTATACCTCTGCATTTATTTAGTATGTATAAAGACCATAAAATGAAGGAAGGAAGGAAGGAAGGAAGGAAGGAAGGAAGGAAGGAAGGAAGGAAGGAAGGAAGGAAGAAAAGAATAAATAGAAAGGTAATAATAATAAACAAAATTCAGGATAATGTTTACTTTGAGTTAGAAGGGAAGTGATAGGCTAGGGTTAGGATTTGAGTCAGTCATGATCATCCCATTTATTTTTGATAAATACTTGCCCCTGGCCCAGTTCTAGGCAGTGAGACACAGGTGGAAGGAAGGCTCCTAAGGACCATATGAGAAAAACTTCCCTTCATTCTAAAAGGGGAAGGCAACAAGAGAGATTCCTCTTTTTCATGTTTTGAAATATAGGCATGATGCATGGAACTGCAACAGTTCTCTTGTGGCCATAAGATGACAAGTGTGAAGACAAAAATTCAACACAACTTAGAATAGCAACACAGAAAGACAAAATGGGTCTATATCTTTGATGACATCACTCAGCAACCAGTCCATATAGGCCACCTAGATTCCAAAGCTTCTTGTTAAATATATCTTTTGCTTTAAGCCTCTGATAGTTTGGTTTTCATCTTACCGTGACCAAGAGCTTCCTAAGTACTCTACAGTTAAACTTAGTCCCTTCCTGATTTTTCTCAGTTGTTTCATATTTAAATAAATTGTTTCTGTTCTGCCGTATGGCTGCATGTCAGCTGGGAGTGAGAAGGGTGTGTCCAACAGGCTCATATGACATCGGGGCTTTGGTGGAAAGCTTTGGGTCACTGTCCACAAACCACACTGGTATCTGATATCCACCTTATCTCTGCTACTCTCTGAAGGTTGGCATTTTATTTCTGTTGTCTGCTAAAATGTGTCATCTAGTCTGATCCTCAGGAAGCCAGCCTCCTCCACAATGAATCAGGTGAGGCATAAATCTGTTCTATGATCCCTGGCCTGATGGTCCCCAGTGCACCATACAGTGATCTCCCAGCATTTCAGTTGTGAGACCTGGGCAGCTCTCCTGGCTTGCCCTCTTCATTTCATCCTTTCTCTGTGTCTAAACCTCCTCTGTCTTCATGGGGCACAAATGCAGCTGTTCTTTCACATCTCCTGGGTGGGTGAACCCCTGAGGCTGGTTTTCTGCCCAAACATTGCCCACAGCTCTCACTACTCTGTTGCTCAGTCAGAGCAGATGCCATTCACTCTGACGCTGGAGGTCCTCCCTCAACCACACTTTGAAGCAGAAACCCCAGCTAGAGCCACATCTGATCACCTACTAGATTTTGGTGTCAGGAATCAAGCAGGATGCAGGACTCCTCAAGGCTCCCGCATCAGTGACCACTCTCCCGTCTCCCTTAAAAAGGTTTCTTGGGCATCTCTATCCAAACAAAAGCTTTGATCTTCAAAACTATTTGCCCCGGCTACAAGTTTAAAGGTCTGTTTTGAAACTCAGAAATGAAAACTTTCAGGGACGCCTGGGTGGCTCAGCAGTTGGGCGCCTGCCTTCGGCTCAGGTCATGATCCTGGGATCCAGGATCCAGTCCCGCATCAGGCTCCCTGCGAGGAGCCTGCTTTCTCCCTCTGCCTATGTCTCTGCCTCTCTCTCTCAGTCTGTGTCTCTCATGAATAAATAAATAAATCTTAAATAAAAAAATAAATCTTTAAAAAAATGAGAACTTTCTCTTTTTTTCTCTTTGTATTCCTGCCACAGCAATACATTCAGCAATGGCTGCCTCCTATACAGGTATTTCTAGAGAAAAATGTGCTATAATGGTCCATTGGTACTCAGCAACCCTAGGATCTTTTTGTAAATCTATTTTGGGTAGGTTGGGACAGATAATTCACCATGTTACAAATATATATATATATATATATATATATATATTCATCTCAATTACTTTTAATATAATAAGCTATGAAATAAAGTGGGCACTTCAGGTTAGGGTTTATGGGATATTTTCCTTTTGAAGACTATAATGCACAATTTAAATACATATGATGGGCAGCATCTAACTGAAACAAAAATTATTTTCTTCAGACATGAATGAAGGTTTCTATTAATAAATAGCTGAGAGAACTTATCTGAGGACTTAAATGTCACATTAGCATTTTCTGAAATTCAGAGAAAAACAAAAATGTGGATCAGCATATGTTGGGAGTTCTTTGCCAAAAAGTACAGTCTGCCAACCATACCCTTCACTTTCCTTTCTTCCTGGCTGCACTAGAGTGACATAGTGACCCCAGAGGGCTGACACCAGCCACGGAACATTGGGCCTGCAGAACCCAACTCAAGAAAGTATTTTTAGTCATGGCACAGTCAAGGTCCAGGAGGAAAATATTACCATATTTCTTCCTCCCAAAGCACTTGTCCACTATTCTCTCTGATAGAGACCTCCTGTTGCCAAGGAAGACTCCATTAAAGAAACACTGCTTTCCAACATGGTAGGTGTGGATATTGCTGCTAAATCTCGGGTAAAATGTCCACTCAGGACGATGCCCATCTTCTGCAAGACATCAGAAATCCTTCCATCAGCATCTCTCCCAGCCTCACATAATGCAATTAAATGACAGAAAACTTGTCCCAGGGAAACTCTAACTGTACTGTACTTTATCAATGTGTATAATTCCTTGCTTCCACATCAGGGGCAGGGTTAATCTCTGGGGGACTAGGTTCCAAAAGGAAGGGAAGTGGAGAGAAATGTATCTAAGAGGCCTCTTTTTTTTTTCCTTTTTACCCACTCATCCAAAAATAAAGCCAATTTTATGGTTGGAAGTGATGTACAGAATGGGAAGCTCAGAGAGTTTTATAAGCACCTGTGATCCAACCTTCACTCTGATAAGCAGATAGGAGGAACAGAAGGCCCATCAACCAGGGAAGGGCCAGGCCAACCATGGCAACTTAGCCAGATAGACCATGGTGTTGGCAGCAACAATGGTGCACATATGCACTAGAATGACACAGGAAAATGTATCCATGAAACCCTGGCAAATGAGGACAGCTCCTGTGTGCCCTCAGGCAGGTCTTTGTTTCCTCATTCAATCCTTTTTCTATAAAATTGCTAAAGTGAGGTTATGCCTGAGTGGTTCAGCGGTTGAGTATCTGCCTTTGGCTTGGGCCTGATCCTGGGTCCAGGGATCAAGTCCTGCATCGGGCTCTCTGCGAGGAGCCTGCTTCTCCTTCTGCCTGTGTCTCTCTTCCTCTGTATCTCTCATGAATAAATAAATAAATAAAATATTTTTTAAAAATTTGCTAAAGTTATTTTAAACAATGAGAGATCCTTAACAGCTCTAGGGTTGCTTGAGAAACCCTTGGGCTCTGTGGTGGCCAAGAAAGAACATGGGCTCCGGAGGCAGGCAAGTTCGGATCCTTATCCCATCACTGTACTTCCTAGCTAGGTGTTTTTGTATGAGTGACTAAGTCTCTCCAAGTCTTCTGTGTAAAATGGGTAGGTCTATATTAGCCACCTAGATTTATATGTATTCACACAGAAAGAAATCCATGATCTCTTATGAACTATTTTCCACTAGTGCAAATATGGTTGTATATATACTACAACCTATATATACATAAGTACATACATATACACACATACATGTTTCAAAATTCCTCATGGTTATGGGGAACAATGGGGATACTGCTGGAAAACACTGGAGAAGGGGTTTTTATACTCTAAATATTATTTTAAAACTTTGCAATGGTACTTTTATCATTTTTATATAAAGCCATGTCAGTTTTGAAAAATATATAATGATAGCTCTGCAGCAGAGTCACTGTAAGAATTAAGACAAAATGTGTCAAACACCTAGCACTTCCTGAGTCTTCAGTGAACAGTGCCCAATAGTCTGGCAGACTTCTGGAAAGCCCTGGACATGCAGGCAGGCAGAGGAGGTGCTATGACATACTCACTTGTCTGTAATTTAAGCAAGCTGAACTCCTCAGGATATTTATCCTTCGGGTCCTCAGGCAATGATGTTTCAGAGGAGTGAACAGAATGTGAGGAGGATTTCAGATCCAAATCTGCAGCAAGGCTGGAAAGAGGAGGAGGAACAATTAGATTCTTCTATGTTCTTAAATGGGTAGTTAGAACCTGATTTTACACAGTTTACACTAGAACTACCCTCACAATAACGAGGCCTGCCCCTCCATAAATGTCCACATCCTATCATTTATTTGCTCACAGTCTGACGGGACTGACACATAGTCAGAAGAAGCATCCTAAAAAACAGTGTGGTGGCTCTCAAAAAGTTAAATATAGTATCCCCATATAACCCAGTGATTCCATTCCTACCCAAAGAATTGAAAACAGAGACTCAAATACTTGTAAACAAATGTTCTTTGCAACGTTACTCACATTAGCCACACAGTGGAGACCACCCAAATGTTCACTGGCAGGTAACTGATAAGCAAAGAGTGACATTGACATACAATGGAATATTATCCAGCCATAAAAAAGAATGGAGTTCTGATATACGCCACAACATGAATGAAACTTTAAACATTGTCCTAAATGAAATAGGCCAAATACAAAAGGACAAATATTGTATGACTCCATTTATATGAAATATCTTAACAGGTAAATTTGGAGAGACAAAAGGTAGAGGTTAGTAGATTAGGATAGATTAGAGTACCAGGGTCTAGGGAGAGGGGAGAATGGGGAATCATTGCTTAATGGGAACAGTACTTCTGTCTGGACTAATGAAAGTGTTTTAAAAATAGCAGTGAGGGACGCCTGGAAATCTCAGGTGGTTAAGTGTGTGCCTTTAGCCCAGGGCATGATCCTGGAGTCCCAGGATCGAGTCCCACATCCGGCTCCCTGCAGGGAGCCTGCTTCTCCCTCTGCCTATGTCTCTGCCTCTCTCTCTCTCTGTCTCTCATGAATAAATAAATAAAATATTTTAAAAAAATAGCAGTGATAGTTGTGCAACATTGAAAGGTAATTAGTGCCAGTGGGTAAAAATGGATAAAATGGCAAGTGTTATGTTATATATAATTCACCCCAAATTTTTTTAAAAGGAATGATGTACTGATACATGTTGCAACATAGATGAATTTTGAAAACATGACAATGAATAAAAGAAGCCAGACACCAAAGATCACATATTCCATTTATATGAAATGTCCAGAATAGGCAAATCTATAGAGATAAAAAGTACATCAGTGGTGGTCTAGGGTTGGGGTGATAGGGGACATGGTGGGAGTGGCTGCTCAAGAATACAGGCTTCTTTTGGGGGTGATGAAAGCATTCTAAAAAAAATTTTTAAGATTTTATTTATTTATTTATTTATTTGGAAGACAGAGTAAGTGAGGGAAAGAGAGCACATGAACAGGGGCAGGAGAAGGAGAAGCAGACTCCCTGCCTCCCGGGGAGTCTGGCATGGGGCTCAATTCTGGGCCTGCAAGATCATGACCTGAGCCAAAGGTAGACGCTCAACCAACTGATCCACCCAGGCGCCCCAAAAATGTTCTAAAAACCATTGAATTCCACACTTTACAAGGGTGAATTACACACTATGTGAATTACATTTCAATAAAACTGTCACCAAAAATATGCATGTTTGATAAAACCATTAAATGGAAATGAAAAATCAATAAATATAAAGAGAAGAGGAAGACGTAATCAAAAAGCAAACCTAAACTGAAATGGTTGTAATAACAGAGCATTGCGTTTAGTGCTGAAGTTCCTGGCCATTAGGAAAAAACCTACAACAAACTATTTTTCAGCAGAAAAAGCAATCATTTCTGGTTTAAGTGATGTTGCATTTGACAGGTGGCCTCAGACAGTGTCTTTAGGTATCTGTTATCAAATCATGGAATATTTTCTTATAATATTACATCACTCTCATAGTTGAATAGCTTCCAAGCTACTTCATGATCCTCGTCTCATTTGCTCTCTGCTAATACCCCTATGAAGTAGGTAGGACCAATATAATAATTTCCATTTGAAAAGGAAATGGACCACAGAGAAGGTAATGCTAAAAACACACATAGACAGGGTCAGAGCTGGAGCTGCAGTCTAACTCTTTTATGGTGCCTAGAAATCATAAACAACTATAGTACAGTAATTCACAACTCTTATATAGCATGATCTCTGGTTTTAAATTTTATTTTTTTTAATTATTTATTCATGAGAGACAGAGAGAGAGAAAGAGACAGAGACAGAGACACCGGCAGAGGGAGAAGCAGGCTCCATGCAGGGAGCCCGACGTGGGACTCGATCCCGCGTCTCCAGGATCACGCCCTGGGCCGAAGGCAGGCGCCAAACCACTGAGCCACCCAGGGATCCTCTCTGGTTTTAAATAAACATATGAATACAAATATCCTTTAACTTTTATAACATGCAGATAGAGCAAAATTGCAATAACTCAGAGTCCCCCCACCCAGTTCAGAACATATGATAATTTTAATATTCGGGTGATATATGTCTCTCCTAAATATTTTTTTCCTAAATATTTTTAAAGGCTTTCCTAAACAAATTATATAGAAAAGATTGCAAAGATAAAAGGAATTTTCCAAAAAAAAATTTAGAATAGTGTTTGTCTACTCAACAAACATTATCTAAGTACGTTTTGTGGCAAACACCATTCTAGACACTAGGAATTCAAAGATAGTCTCAGTCTTCAGGAGCTTAAGATCTAGGGGGAGAGGGCACCGGCTGGCTCAGTGAGTGTAACATGAGACTCTCAGGGTTGTGGGTTCAAGCCCAATGTTCACTGTAGAAATTACTTAAAAATAAATCTTTAAAAAATATATTAACATTGATTCTCTAAAAGGTAAAATTATTGTCATTTATAACATTGTTTTTATACTTTCAAAATTTCTACAATGCACTTACTTTCATTATAACAAAAATTGTTTTTAAAAAAGGCTTTCAAAACTTTTTACCGTAAAGAAATCTAAACAGAGAAAAGCACTTACAACAAATACAGTTTTACAAACAATTGTAATGCCAGCCTTCCCCTCACACTCTTCCCCTCACCCATTATTCACCAGAAACCATGTGTGTGTCCCCATCCTCAGGAATTAACCACTATCCTGACTCTGACTCTTATGGTAATCATGGCTTTGCTTTTCTTTAAGATTTACCACTACGTATGTATTCCAAAAAATATAGCTTAGTTTCACTTGCTTTTGAACTTCATAATGACAAGCTTGCACAGGCAGCACATATTGTATGCCATGGAGTCTTCCAATCACTTTCCATGTATTTACTTATTTAATCCTCAAAACAATTCTATGAAATACTATCTCCATTTCATAGATGAGAAAACTGAGGCCCAGGAGGTAATTTTCCCAAGTTCATACAGATGAACTTAGCAGAGCTAGGGTTTGAACGTAGACAGTCTGGCTCCAGAATCCATGCTCTGGCCAAACATGACATGCTACCTCTCAGAATGTTGGGCTTCCTGGTCAGAATTTACCCCAATAGTTATGGTCTTCATTGCACCTTTACTTACTCTAGGTGAACAGACACCTTGCACGGGCCTGGAGGCTCACTCACACTAAGACATGTTTCAACAGAAGATGAGGGGCTGACCTTTCTGCCAGAGGGTGTTGTGTTGGCAAAGCATCCCTTAGATTCCAGAAAATCACTGTGTTTAGTACCTGAAAACACATCACCATTGGATTTCATTAAGGAAATTAAATGCCTACCCCTCCCTCTTGTTCCCTAGATTATATAAATTAGTTTCAAAAACTAACATTTATTGAGCAGTTATTGTTATTGTGTATTGGGGATCATATTAACACCTTACACACATTATCCCACTTAATTCCCATAACGCCTCACAGACATAAGTATTGCTTATCCTTCCATTTTACTGATGAGAGAACTAAGGCACAGATTAGGTTAGCAACTTGCCTAAGATCATACAGAAAATAAACACCTCAGTCCAGATTTGATCACAGCTCTTGTGACGCTAATGTCAAAAATCCTAACTACTATGCTAGACCACTTGTCCCTCCAGAGTCTGCCTACTTTGAATTAAGTGGAAGAGAGAACATCTGAATCAAGCTATATATCTGTACATTGTATTGAGCATCTCAAGACAATATTCCAAAGGATTTATTCATGGAAAGACTGATGAATAATCCAAAGAAGTGCCATCAGAAACTTCCATGGGTTCCCCTCACACTGTAGTTGTCATTAATTTATATATACGTCTTTCCAACCAGACTTATTATGATGCCTTATTCACCTTCGCAGCATCCAGAACAGTGTCTCACACAAAGTAGATGCTCAACAAATATTTGAGCACATAAGTGAAAAAGAATTATAACTCCCCAAACCACTTTCAATTACAAATAAGGCAGTCCTGAAAGCCAGGGCTGTCAGCTAGAGAATCATAACTATTATCTTCACTCTGCTATACAATTACTGATTCGTGAAAGTCAATCTGTTCTCTCATCATTTTATAGAGCTGTGTGCCTGGCCAGTCACTTAAAAAAAAAAGTCAGATGATTGGTTATTGCATTTCCATATATGCATAACTTTACAGAGCATAGAAGCTCAATAGATACAATGTAACCTCTAGGTATAAGGAAATTACAAAAAGTAGGAATCAGACCTATGTGACTCTTCAGTAATTTCCCTCCCCCCCGCCAGTATCCCATTCTTGGGTTTTTCAGGATATGGCATAGGGACTTCCTGCATCAAAATTACTTGGGAAGCCTGTTAAAAATACAGATTCTCAAATCCCATCACAAACCCACCGAATTAGAGTCTCCCTAAGTGAGGCCTGGGAACCCGCATTTTGAGTAAGTCCTCCTTCCCCTGCAGCAATTAGGCTCATGTTCTGCAGTGATATTGCTTCTCTTCAAGTCTAGCTCCACCACTGCATTCTATCCCATCCCACTTGCTCATTCACAAATGCACAGAATTTCTCGAATTTGCTTGGTTACGAGGATCACCCTGGGGCGCTTGTTCAACATACGTATTCCAGGGCTATGACCCAGACCTACAGGGGAAGACCTGGGTATCATTTTGGTTAAGAAGCACATCTCAGTGATACTCAGAGCCAGGCAAACATAG